CCATCAGAGAAACACAGTGTGGAATAATATATCTTGCTCGCCTTCCAGATGTGTCCTAGGGGACAGAAATCAACTGGTCGCTTTTAGAAAAGAGTACTAATAAACTAGATTTATAACTAATAACACGGACCAATCTCAAGGAGATCTCAAAAGTTAAAATACAACACACAGGTCATGCGTGGTGGCTCAAGCCTGTAATCCCAGCACTTGGGGAGCTAGAGTCCGTCAAAAAAAAAAAAAAAGACAGGAAATAAGAGCTTTTCATGGGAACATCATTTTCCATGTGGCTCTGATTTCATTCATTCAACAAATATTTATAGAGTACCTACTACATGCCAGGATGGGCCCAACTTTTCACAAAACTTTGGACTTTATGGAAACCCACTTCGTATTTCTCATAGAAAATACAGTAAAACCTAACCAATTTGGCAGCTGTTCACGTGGAAAAAACCCAAATACATCCTACAAATAAATTAATTTAAACAAACATTTTTTTAAGCTCCAGTGTAACTTTATTTTCAAAACCAACCATCAAAGGACTACTTGGGATTGCTGCATATCACTAAGTCAATCAACAAACATTTATTAAGCACCTCAGTGCTCAAGGAAGGAGAGTAACTCAAATAGTCTTTGCCCTGAGGAGCACACTGCAGTCCTGGAAGGCTTTGCTTTGGCATGCTGTATATGCTGTGTACACAGGATTAATATCCTCATCTGGGACTGTACACTGTGTGCTCTGCCCAGGAGCAGAGGGGGTCAAACATGAGAAAGCCTCATCTCCTGCACCTTCTCCATTCCCAGAATCATTAGTCTCAACCAGAAGGACCATTCGTTTTAAAATACAGTATACCTAAATTATCAAAATGCATCTGCATATACACCATCTGAAGTTACATGTATATATAGTCACACAAGTAAACACATGTATGACTTGCTCCTGGTGAGTGGGAGGGAGCCCACTAAAAAGTGGTTCAAGTGATCCTGGGGGAACAATATAACAAATGGAAGTTGCATTCTTGGCCAAAGCTTTAACTTCAAAGGCATTGCAGGAGGCCACAGACTCACTGAGTACGTTGCAAAAGAAACAGTATAAACTTCTACAATTTTAAATTGTGAAGTTGTGGTCCAGGTCCTACTTTACTTTTTCCAGATGCTTTGTTAATTTTATCCCAGCTCACTTTTGTGTCAGAGCAGAGATGGAAGAGCAGCAAGCTGTTTACTCTGTCCTATTTTTGTCGCTGCTGTGTTATTTCTTGCACATGATCAGGCTGGAACCATGGACAGGTCAGCCCACATTAGGATCAGGATAGAGCGATGAGGAGGAAGAACCATTTTACACTGCCCGCCACTGGCTCTTTCAAGTCTGGGGGCTCCCCTCTCCCCACCTGTTCCTCCCTCCCAAACTAACCCTGTAGGTACATCCCCCTGGGATAGACCAGGAAACCATCCACCAGATCCTCAAGAAATACCCTTTGCCTGACCCCTTCCTAGGAGAACAACTCTGGATTGAAAGCTGAGGCAATGTAACCCCAGGCAGACACAGAACATAACAGCAAATGGCCCAGAACATTCTCCACCTGACAGGGTTAACAAACCATCAGTGAACCAAGCACCCCGCTTCAGTGCTCTCTCTCCCAGCTGGGCTACAAACTCAGCTCGGGGTGGGGGCTAGGGAGACAGGAGGAGAAGCAGTCCCGTGGTAATATCTGTGGGTCAGCTAAGACCTCCCTGGACCTTGGGAGCCAGAGCCTTCCCCACGACTCTCCCCTGACCCCACAGAAGAGATGCCTCCCAGACACAGTAGCCTTCACATCTGGACTGGTCCCCGCTCAGGATAAAGACAGAACACTCATCCACTTAATGTTCCCCAAATGCCCTCTCTCATCACTAATCCCCAAAACCCAACAAGCACAGCCACCTGTCAAAAAACACCCCACCCACAGCAAACATCAGCCTAAAGTACAAGGCCACTAAGGAGATTACCACCCAAGGACAAGGGACTCAGACAGCAGAGCTCAGAAGAGCAGACCGGACCCCTCCTGGGGCCTCTGGGAGCTCCAACACGGCCAAGCTCTTTTGGGGCTGTGGGGTCCCACAACAACCACGTAGTTGGTACCAGCAGCACACAAGTGAACTTGCTGGTTCTCTAAAACATATCCTTATCCAACACCTCACTGTAAACATGCTGGATGCTGGATGCTGGCTTTCTCTTCTGTGTGTCATGCTCTCTTCCCCATCTCCTTGAACACAGACAATGAAGCATAATCTCCCCCATTCTGGACCCCCAGGTAAGCATTCTCCCCAGCACAGCACCTGGCAGGGAAGACGCACAGAAACCGCTGGCTAAATGGAGTCAAGTCTACACCTGGGCCTGAAGTGACACCACCGAGGACAGCAAAAGGATGACTTGCCCCTTCACTAAAGGCCCCCAACTGCCAGGTAGTGGTAGCTTCCCCTCCTGCTTTTTGTGCACTTCAGCCCATCCCCCGCTGCACTGATCTGACGGAACTAAGGAAGGCCCGAGACAGTTCGGCCGCTCCCTAAGAAGTTCAGCTTTCTTAGAGCTACAAACAGCACCCCCAAAATGCCCATTTTTACACAGCTCTTGAACCCATTTCAGAGATAATCTGCATTCGTTTTCTAAGGCGAGGACTGGAGGAAAGAAAAGTCGGCAACCTGCTTTCACTTAACACCCTGCCAGGGCGCTGACTTGAAGGCTGAACCCTGGCCCCCACCCCGCCCAGTCACTCCTTCCACCCAGATCTGCTCTAAATCGGAGTCTGTACAGTTGGCTACTGACACACAGCTGTCTCTGCAGCATCCAACCCCCAGGGCCCATCACAAGCCAAGCCTCTGGAGGCTGCATATGAAGCAGTGCAGTCTGACATCAGCAAAGCAGCTAGCCCTGGAGAGACAGAAGTCAGAGGGCGTCCTGGGAGAGACAAAACCACAGGCCTCTCTGCCTGACTGATGGCTTCAGGGCAGAGCCTGGGGGCTTCGTTCCCACTGGTTAGTAGGAAAGAGAGGGATGGGCAGGGCCAGGCTGAGCAGACCCGCCTGCAGTCACTGAAGACTTTGAGAAGGACCAGCAAGTCACGCCAGGATACAGGAGTCCCTGGTTCCCCTCCACAGCCTGCCAGTCTACCTACCCAACCTTTCCTTGGCTGACCTTGAACAAATTATGCAAGCCCCATTCCAGCTGAGGAATGAAAATCTGGCCCATACTGGAAGCTCAGAGGGGAAGGATAGTGTATCTATCACCCAGCGCAGTCTGCATAATACTTACGTAACCTCTGTCTTGGGGGTACACATCCTTCCTGGCTCATCAGCTGCATGGCAATGACAGCTGCTCTGCTCACTGTGCCCTCACCCCACCCTACCTCATACACCTACCCCCAAATCACACCTTTGAACTCAAAGCACCCCAGAGCCTGTCATGCATAAATTTATCCAAAATATGGAAAAAGCTATGTATATAAAGATGCTAAGGCCTGGCTGGCACATAATAGGCATTCAATATAAATGTGTTTGATGAGTGAATGAGCAATGAGCATCAAAGTATTATTGAATAGTAGGGGAAAAAGTAGAAACTTGGAATCTGACAATAGGAACTTATTATAATGTAACCAGGAAGAGCGAGCTCCCTCTGCAGGGCCACTGTTGCAGCACCACCAAGAGTGGGGGAGTTGGGGAGACCCTCGACTAGCAATGACTCCCACTCTCTGCCTGCTCCCACCTGGGCCTAAGGAGAGCTGAACTCAGGTTGAGGGGACCAAGTGCCTTCAGAAGCACTGGTTAACTCTGACCTCAATACCATGCATGGATTTTATTCTAAGGGCCACCAAGAGCCACTGTTGAGTGACTGCCACATCTGTGTTTCAGAAGCTTACTTAACCAGCAGACTGGCAAAAACGTAAATAATATCCAGTGTCAGTGAGGGTGTGGAAAACGGTCGCTCTCGTTCATGCCAAGTGGGAGTACTACAGGTACACTCTTTTTGGAAAGCAATTAACCCAGCATTAATCCTAGTGGCAATTCCACTCCTAGGAAGCTGCTCCACTGCAGCAACCAAGGCACTTGAAGACGTGTACATCAGGATGCTCACTGTAGCAGTATGTGTAACACAAAACTCAGAAGCAAACTAAAAGTCCATCAAAGAGAAAATGAATGAAAAAGAAATTAAGGTACTATACTTGCAAACTAAGGCGTACCACATGGTAATCAAAAAGTATAAGGTGGGTGGCTCATGCCTGTAATCCCGGCACTTTGGGAGGCTGAGGTGGGTGGATCACTTGAGGCCAGGAGTTCGAGATCAGCCTGGCCAACATAGCAAAACCCCATCTGTACTAAAAATATATAAAAAAAAAAAAATCAGCCAGGCGTGATGGTGCACACCTGTAATGCCAGCTACTTAAGTGGCTGAGGCATGAGCTTAAACCAGGAGGCAGAGGTTGCAGTGAGCCAAGATCATGC